CCCCTCCTGCCACCCCGTCCCTGGCGCAGCTGTCTTCAAGGATGGGCCGGCTGCGCTCTTCTCCCCGCTCCTTCCCGACTCCTCCAGACAGCCCACACCTTGATGGCCTCAGTCCCCGTTGGACACAGACCAAGTCCCTTGCCCTCTTCTGCTGCTTAAGGAGGTAGAGCCTGGGCTGGGAGTCCCGGCCTGAGTTCTGGTTCCCCCTCAGTCCCTGACAGATTGTGTGGCAGGGTTGGCATGCCACTGCCACGGGCCAGGTGATCTCGGAGGCTTCCTGCGCTCTCTGTCGGTAGTTCAAGATCCGGTGATAGTACTGTAATGGTAGTCCCGTTACGATGCTCTACAAATCTTTTAAATCAAAAGATTTCTAATTTCCAGAGCGATGGCTTTTGTTTTGTTTTTGCCAATGCTGGGTATATTCAAATTGACATTTGACAGAAGAATTTAGAGGCCTTTGGGTTTGGCTGTGATCAGATTTGGAATCCAGAACAAGTAGAAAAGACGATAACCACCAGCTGCTGACTCTCCAAACTAGACTGCCAGCTCCTCGCAGGCGCAGGCGGGTCTGGGCTTGCGCTTAGGCACAGTGCTCACGGCATGTTTGTTGAGTAATCTGAGCCTTTGCTGGAGCTGCTGGAGCAAAGCCATCTGCTGCCTTAAAGCTAGAGGTCCCCACTTCCCTGGCCAGGTGCAAGGCAGGCCCAGGGAAGAGCAGCGAGGAGTGGCTCTGGAAGGTGGGCGGAGGACTCAAAGAATTGGAAGAACCTCTTGGGCGTACAGAGCAGGGAGGCCGGGCTCCCTCTTGGCTCCAGGCCTTGTCTCTGTCTCACAGCTCCTCCTTTTCTAGGCTGGAGACTTCCCCTGTTGGGCCAGCAGTACCTGGATATCCTGACCACCTGGTTCTGCAGCTTCCAGGATTGCTGTGACCATGGGGACTGCAGGGTCTCCAACAACTTCACAGGTTGGAACTTGCATGCCCCTAAGGGGACAGTGATCTGTGGGAAGGGGAGGCAACTCAGGGCAAATGGCTAGGGTGCAAGGGACCTTTCTTCATCCTGCCCATGGCTGGTAGCATACCCTCCTGTCCCAACTGTGGCTCCCAGTAGCGCCTGTCTCCAAACCCTGCAGCCTCATGGCTGCAAGGAAGGCAGGCCTAGCACAGAACTTTGCACACACTAGCTGTCCTTAACAAGTTTGCTGAATTGAATTAAAATGAATAAAATGAGGGTGCTCCTATAAAATATGTAGGGAGTCCTGAAACTTCCAGGTGGGAACAACCTCATGAGCACAGGGGGGTAGGTTTCTCCTCCAGACAGAATCTACCAACCATTCTGGGGTTCTTCAGGACCTTCAGAAAGAGTGAATCCATCCTCTCCCTAAGTTCAATAGTGATTTCTCAAATTCTTCAGAAAAGAGCCCTTGGATCCCTTCCTGCTGCAGGTCTGCCCACTGCCTTGTTCTGAGGCCAAAGTGATACCACCTCAGCGATGTTCAGGGGTGCTCTCTTGGCTGTCGCTGAGCCTGGTGGCAACCCTGCCTGTGTGCGCACCTCATTGTGACCTCCTTTCCCACCCCTAGGCCTACAGTCGGACCTGAGTGTGCAACTGCATGGCCAGCACCTGGCCCAGGAGCTGGTCCCGACAACAGTGAGGAGCTACTTAGAGCTGCCCCGGCCAGACAAGGCTCTGGCTCTGTCGTTCCATGGCTGGTCTGGCACAGGCAAGAACTTCGTGGCACGGCTGCTGGCAGAGAACCTGTACCGGGACGGGCTGAGGAGCGACTGTGTCAAGGTGTTCATCACCCTGATCCACTTCCCTCACCCCAAGTATGTGGACCTGTACAAGGTGAGGCCGGCAGTGCTGGGCTGGAATGAGGTTTGGGCAGCCCCTCTGTGCTGGGGGTGGGGTCTGGGGGCCATTTTGACAGAACCTGTAACCCACAAAGACATCCACTCCACACAGGTGAGGCCTGGACATGTGGAGGAAAGGCATGTTCCAAACCCCACTCATCCCAAGCTCTGTCTCCTTACCAGCCAGACACTGAGCTTAAACAGAGAATCCATCTGTTAATTTTTGTTATAGAAATAGTGGAAATGTCACAGGAAACGTGGAACAGAGAAAGGCAAAAACTGTATCATCATCTCCCCACATGGCCACAGGCAGTTAGTATTTTGGTGGACTTCTTGCAAGCCTTTCCCTTTGCCATTTTACTTTATTGTCATTATATTGGACAAGGTGTATATCCTGTTTTTTTAAAGAGGCCTATCATATCATAAGTGATTTTCCCCAAATTGCTCAACAAGTGGAGGGACAAAAATGGTCTTTGCTGCTCTATTTTGGGTTTCTTCTGTTGAAATGTAGTATTTGAAGTAAGCTGGACAATGACCAAAACCTCACTGCAGCCGGACAGAGGTGACTGCGTCTGTGTCTGGCTTTCAGTTCCAATATTTGGAGTGCGATAACCTGGGAAGATTGGGTAAGCATTTGAGGACAGATTGCCTGAGTCATCTGGCAGTTTCAGTGTGACCTGGAGGGCAGGGTAGGGCAAACTGTCCTAAGGCAGGTGGCTGGTCAGCCAGGCCTTTCCAGAAAGAACTAGCTGGCTTTGACTGTGCAAAGCTATGGATCTTAGTTCCCTGCCATGAAAAATGACACGTACGCACTCTCACACCTCACTTTTCTTGTCACACACGCACTCAGGTGATGGGACTGGAAGGCTAGAGGTGGTCAGTGAATGTGGGCTCTGCCAAAACACCCCACCCTGGGGCAGGGCTGGCCATTCTGGTGAACCCCACAAAGCAGCATCTTTTCAACTGAGGGCTCTCTTGCCTAGATGGGGAACCCCAGTTCGAGTATGCTGGTCCCAGACAGTTCTGTCCCAGACAGGTCCTCCCCAGGGAGATTATGAGAACCACCGAGTTCTCAGCCCAGTGGGCACTCTGCTCCTGCAAGTTCAAGATGGGGCTGTGGCCACCTCTGGGCACTTAAATTTGTCTCCACCAATGATCCCTATATTAGAGCTTAATTCCCAGTCCCTAGGAGGGTGAGTCAGCTGTTAGTTCTGGGACCTCTACCTGAAGAGGGAGCAGGGCCTGGGGCCTGTTCCCAAGGGCAGGCAGACCCTATCCCTTTCCCAAACTGTTTCCACCTGGTTGGCTTTCAAACCTCAGGGTGCAGGAGATTCACCTGGGAAGCTAGAGGTGGCTGCCCTAGCTCCACCAAAGAGGTTTGAATTTGGTAGTTTCAGGGTAGAACCCAGCCCCAGGCAATCTACTGCCGATGCCCTGGGGAAGCAGGCACCTCACCAGGGCCCTCCTGGCTGAACGCGCCTCCCAGGACTCCCCAGCAGCTCCCTGTGTTCTGTGCAGGAGCAGCTGACAGACCAGGTGAGGAAGATGCAGGAGCACTGCCACCAGACCCTGTTTATTTTTGATGAGGCTGAGAAGCTGCACCCAGGACTGCTGGATGCCCTCGGGCCACACCTGGAACACCAGACCCCGGAGAACCACAGGGCTGAGGCCGTAAGAACCATCTTTGTTTTTCTCAGGTAAGGCCTGAGGGAAAACAGGAGGGCTGAGCGAGGAAGAAGTCTGTTCGGGTGCTGTGCGCCCCGGGAGTGGGGGCTGCTCACCTGGTGTGTAAGCTGGCGGTAGAGGGCTTCCGCGCTTTCCTAGGCTGCAGGCCCTTTTCCACAGGGAACCCAACGCAACTGCAATAGAGAACATAGAAGCCTAGCTGCTTGGGGTGCCGCAGGGCGGGGAGCTTTAGGTGTCAGGCTCCTGCCCTAATTCTACCCCCGGAGCATTTCTGAGGGGTCCCATCTTCCCCTCAATGGCACAGCTGGATAACTACTCACTCCAAGGACCGGCCTGGGAAAGAGCAGCTGCCCCTCATCTAGCCACTCCCGTGGTTCTCAGGATGGTGGGGCTCCCCTCAGACCCTCAGTTGCAGGTAGCCTCCCCAGGGAGGGACTGCTCACACCCGGAGTCCCCCCTTAAAGGGCAGTACGGTTGTGGCTGCTGTTGTTGTCTTTTAATTGAGGTATAACTGACTTATGGCAGCATGTTAATTTCCGGTGTACAACATGACTGGCTGATTTGTATATACTGGCAGACCTTGTTTTACTGCCTTCACTTTACTGCACTTCACAGGTGTTGCATGTTTTACAAATTGAAGGCAAAACTCCACCAGCAAAAAGAGTGACTCAATTTATTGCGATACTGTCTTCATTATGGTGTCTGGAATGAAAACCGCAGTATCTCTGAGGTCTGCCTGTATTATGAAATGGTCACAATAAGTCTAGTTAACATCCATCGCCATTAGTAGTTATGAAATCTTTTTCTTGTGATAACTTTTAAGATCTCTTAGCAACTTTCAAATCTGCAATTCAGTATTAACTGTAGTCACCATGCTGTACGTTACATCCCCAGGGCTTACTTTTTTATAGCTGGAAATTTGTACCCTTTGACCCTCTTTCACCCATTTCTTACCGCCCCCATCCCTCACCTCTAGCAACCACCAGCCTGGTCTCTGTGTTATCTATGAGCTTGGGTTTTGTTTTAGATTCAACATATAAGTGAAACTATATGCTGTTTGTCTTTTTCTGTCTTGTTTCATGCCCATCCATGTTGTTGCAAATGGCAAGATTTTGTTTATGGCTGAATAATATTCCATTGGTGTATATACCACATTTTCTTCATTCATTCATTTGTGGGTGGGCATTAGGTTGTTTCTATATCTTGGCTATTGTAAATAATGCTGCAAGAAACATAGGAGTGTATATATCTTCACAAGTTAGTGTTTTTGTTTTTTTAGGATAAATATCCAGAAGTGAATTTGCTGGATGGAGTGGTAGTTCTATTTTTAATTTTTTGAGGACCCTCCATACTGTTTCCTACAATCACTGCACCAATTTACAATCCCACCAACAGTGCACAAGATTCCCCCCTTTTCGCCAGCATTTATCTCGTCTTTTTAATAATAGCCTAACAGGTGTGAGGTGATGTCTCATTGTACATTTCCCTGATTAGTGATGTTGAGCATCTTTTCATGTACCAGTTGGCCATTGGTATGTCCTCTTTGGAAAAATATCTATTCAGATCCTCTGCCCATTTTTTAATCTGGTCGTTTGGGGGGAGGTGGGGGTGCTACCCAGTTATAAGTTCCCTATTTTTTATATTAACCTCTTATCAGATGTAGGACTTGCAAGTATTTTCTCCCATTCAGTAGGTTGCCTTTTCCTTTTGTTGGTTTCCTTTGTTGTACAGAAGCTTTTTAGTTTGATGTAGTCCCACTTGTTGGTTTTTGGTGTCAGGTACAAAAATCATTGCCAAGACCGATATTAAGGCGCTTACCACCTGTTTTCTGCTAGGAGTTTGAGTTTCAGATCTTATGTTCAAGTATTTAATCCATTTTGAGCCAGCAGTTTTTGTGTATGGTGTAAGATGGTGGTCTAGTTTCATATATTTGCATGTGACTACCCAGTTTCCCTGGCACTATTTATTGAAGAGATTGACTTTTCCCCATTGTTCATTGTTGGTTCCTTTGTCATACATTAACTGACCATATACATGTGGGTTTATTTCTGGGTTTTCTATTCTGTGTCATTGATCTAGGGTATCTGTTTTGATTACTATAGTTTTGTAATATAGTTCAAAATGGAAACTCACACACTGGGAGTCCCCTTTTAGAAGGGTATTAAGTTTTCAAATCAGCAAATTAGTTGAAAATCAAGTACAAACTACCTTGGAATCGTTTTAATATAGACCCAGTTGGAAGGTAGTTTCCCACTAAGTCCAACATGGTGTGTTCTCCCCCCAGCCTTGAGTCTTTTTCTTCTCTGATCATGAGAGGAAGTCACTGGCTTAAAATTCAAGGGATAAAGTGCACCATGGCTCCCAATTTCCTGTTTTGTGTGTGTGCCCCAGACTCTGGAATGGCTATGCTGAAAGCAGACTTAGAAATCAACTTGTCCAATCCTCGTATTTTATGGAAGCTCCAACTGGGAATGTGTTGCTCAAGGTCTGTTCAAGTCTGGGTCCCTGCTGACTCAACTTGAATGTTTCACAAGCAGCTTCTTGCTCTCAGAGTGGAAGACAAACTAGTTCCCTCTCCCTCCCCAGGCCAGAACCTGCTTGCTAGGGGATTTCCCCCAGCTTAGGGAGCACCCTGTGAAGATAGAGAATTAGGGGGTCTGGTTCTTCATCCAGGCTTGGTAAGTGTGAAGAATAAGCTGTGGAGGGCAGATCCTGTTTCACTGTGAACCCAAAGACAGAACCGGTTTAAACTGTTGAGATTTTGGTGCACTGATGCAAGTCCTTCCGGATCTATAAGTAAGGCTTAGGGGACATTAATTACAGTGCAGTGTGCAGGGAGGCCATCCCAAGGTGGTTTTAAGAGAAAAGCATGCATGAGAGATTTTCTAATGTGATTAGCTGTGTATTATTGACCACCTTCTGAGGCACACAGCTCTCCCTGTTGCGATGAATTAGGTGGAGGCTCCAAATTGCAAGTAAGGCGTCACCTTGGTTCCCTAAGGCTTTTCCACCTAAGCCCTGCCAGGTGGTGGGAGTCCAGGGGACCCTCTCAACTATTGCTGCAGACACAAGTCTTTCCCACTGAGTGGAAGGGAAGCCTGGTGACCAGCTCACTCAGGATTCTCTTTGTAGAAATCCTCTGACTTTGTGCAGAGCTTCTCCTTTCCTCTCACCACACCTGAGCCAGCCATGCCTCGTGGCTGACTGTTCCTCTACATGGGCTTGTGCCAGGATTTCCTAATGCGACTCAGGCGACCCTGCTGTATTTCTAGACAAATGTTTGCCATTGTAGTATTTTGGAAAACCCTCATCCTCTCCAGCTCTGCCCTTTCCCCCAGTGACCCAGACTTTGTACACGATCTGAGGTCACCAGATGGATGGTGAATGGTGGAGGCAGGGCTGGGAAAAGCTGCCCTGTGGGCCTATGCTGCCCCCCAGGATAGAGCCCTTGGGCAGGAGGACACCACACCTGCGACAGGGATGCAAGGATGTGGCTCCAGTGGGAGCCTGGGTACCCACTGCCCAAGGGCCAGCAAGGCTGCCAGTGCTGTCCCAACCCTTTAAACCTTGAAGGTTTTCAGTTATTTAGTGGTGGGTAGGGAAAAACAATGTATTTGAACCTGTTAAAAAACAAAAATTCAGTTGAATAAATTTGAAGAGCTAACTGGCTTTACTGAGTGATTCCTGAATCAGGCAGCATCCCACCTAGTAAATAGAGGTGCTTTGAGCAGCTGTACAATGTGGAAACCTTTTGTGAGCAGGACATGAAAGCATTCTTTCTGGCAAGGGCAGCTCCCTTTGGTGACAGAAGAAGGCCTGTGTGACAGATTACCTCATTGGTACCGACTAGAAAATTCCAGGCTGCGCTCCTGGAGAAGGCTGAAACTGCTGCTAGGTCAGGGATCAGGTCCAGGCTCGGTGCCATAAAGTTTCTGGGCTTGATTTCTAGAATGTGTGGTAGGGACTCCTGTGTTTGAAAGAAAAGCACAGCTAATTCAAACTTCTGCTGTGAACAAGTCACAGCAGTTTCACCCTGAAAAATTTCCTAAACCTGCTGTTTGAGGTAAGGTGGTGGTGGTTTGCAGGCCTGCCCTGCGTGGCATCTGATGGTAGAAGGTGGGAGGGGAAGCGCAGTGTGGTGGGCTAGAGTGCCCAGCCCTCAGAGCCGAGCTTCATCTGGGCCAGACAAGTAGCACCGCCCACTTCCACCACGTGTAGAAAGCTCCGGGTGGCCACAGGCAGGACAGGACCTTGGAACTCCGACAGCAAGCAACTGTCCTCTTCTCACTGAAGCTGTAAAGTAGAGAGAGACATTAATGGCTGTTGTCAGGAAAAAGAGAAATGACTTGTACCCCAGGGCAGAGAAAACGCTTATAGAAATGTACGTATGCTGACTGACTGGAACCTAAGGAGGGTATCTTAAGTTGTCTAGTCCCTGACTTTACAAATGAGGAAACTAAGACTCAGATTAAGGATCGAGTCAAGTTTTTATCTGTTCTTTTGGAGAGTCTAGCAGATCGGGTTGGGGTTTGTTACCAGAGTTCTGGAAAGGCCTTTGAGTGCCTTTACCTTTGGGGTCTCAGGGCTGGTACGATTACATATTGTCCTATCCCAGAGCCAAGGGCGAGGGCTAGTCTCCAGAGGCGAGGCGACTTCTATCCTTTCAGACCTCCCGGTCAGCAGGTGACCTGGAGGATGAGGAGGAGAACTGAGGTGCTGCAGGAAGGCACCTGTCTAAAGGCTGGGGGAGTGAACAGAGAGGGGGCCCAGGTTACCTCGTGGTGACATAACCTTCCTAACAGAGAGGAAGAAGAGAGATGTTGGCTGTGGGACAAAACGAGAGAAATTCAGAAGGGAAGTGGAGACGAAGGTGTGTAGAGAGGTCCACTCATTTAAGAAACATTTACTGAGCACCTGCTATGCACTGTGGTCACAGACAGGCTAAGCTCCGGCTCTCTAGAAACTTAGTGTCAGGTGGTTCCGGGTAGAAATGGGGAAGGCACTGGAGTCCATGCTCCTGGGGCTGAGTGAGTCCTACACATGCCCCCCTTGCCCGGGGTGGGGCAGTCTGTGGGCAGGTCTTACCTCAGCTGATGCAAGTATGGCCACTTACGTGTGCAGAGATGACCTTCCTGGCAGGCCTTGGGGGGAGTGGGGCAGCAGCTTCCGTACATGCAGGTGTCAGGGCAAGTCTGGCTGAACTTGAGCAAGGGGGTAGGGACTCCCTTTGTTGCTGCCAGGTTCTCCAGCTGGGGAAGGAGGCACTGGATCACTTAGCTAGACAGTTGGCAGTCCTGGCTTATGTGCTAGGCAGGAAGAGAACCACTCAGCTTCTCCTCTGTGTCCCAGAGCCTAGTTCACAGGACGTACTCAAAGGCTAAATGACTTGGGTTAATGTACCTGAGACCTTCAGAGAGCCAGTCAGAGCTTCGTGAGGAGAGACAAAGGTCCTGGGTCCCCACTCCCTCCCTCTGCTGGGCCTGGGGAAAGGCAGATTGGTTTGTTTAGGAGCTGGCAGAAGGCCCGAGTCAAGGAGTCAGTGCTGCCAGCTCCAGGTCTCCCCTCCTCCTTCCCAGTCCCTGTTGGTGGTACTAAGATTTCTTCTCGCTGTCATCTCTAACCCAGTCCTCTTTCCTGTACTTTAGACCCAAAATTCTAGTTGCCTAATGATGTCACAGGCACATGTAAATCCAAGTTTTCATCTCCACCCTTCTATGTTCCACTTCTGTTAAGGGGTGGGGCAGCTCCAGGCAAACGTGTTTTCGATGACCTCCTTTCTCACACTCAGCCCTCAGTTTAGGAGGCACAACTCACAGGGCCCTGTGACTAATTTTTTTTTAATCCTCACCTGAGGATATGTTTTTATTAATTTGAGAGAAACATTGATCGGTTGCCTCCCATACACACCCCAACGGGGGTTCAAACTCGCAACCTTTTGGTTAGGCGACGACGTTCCAACAATTGACCCACCAGCCGGGGCCTGAACTCAAGTCCTCTCCTGCGCCTTTGCCCTCCCTAAATGGTGCACTGTTACTAAAAGCGCCCTGACTAGCTTTTCGCAGCCATCCCATGCGTCTCCAAAATTCAGCCTCTGTGACCCTAGCGTGATATTCTTAGGAAGTAAAACTGATCGGGTCACTTCCCTACACTTCCAAGTCTGAAATCTGTTCTCCACAGCCCATAAGATAAAATCCAGGCACCGGCAAAGGCCTCCTTGTGCCAGCTGCGGCCTACCTTTCATGGCTACCCTCCCGCCCAACGCCCACAAGCCCTCTGCTCCTCTGCCTGGATGTGCCCTTCCCTGCTTCCTCCTCCCTCTGAAGTTTTCCCCACATTAGCACTTGCCGAACTGTCCTGGCATCACACAGACATGGGCCTCCCTGCAGCCTCTGTTTGTCAAAAGGGAGCAAGGCAAAGCGGATGGGTGACAAAGCGGGGCAATGTTGTTTCTGTACAGACCTTGGCGTTGTGACAAGATCTCCTAGGGGAGAGAAGGCCCCAGACCTCAGCTTCCATTCTTCCAGTCACCAGTGCAGTGGCCTCAGTGTCAAGTTAATCCATTTGAAATCTAAATATAAAAATGAAATCTCTTAACAAGCTTGTCTCTTTCAGTAACCTTGGAGGCAATGTCATCAATGAGGTGGTCCTGGGTCTGCTTAAGGCTGGATGGTCCCGGGAAGATATCACAATGGAACACTTAGCGCCCCGCCTCCAGGCTGAGATTGTAGCATCCACAGGTAACTCCCAGCCACACGGAAAATAAACCTGAGGGTTAGAATGTGTGCTTTTGAGACGGAGCGGATACTTAGGACACAACCCTATAATCATCTCATCGTCAACTTCAGGGAGGTGCAAGAAAAGTGAACTCCTTTTCTGAAAATGCTTTAAGAGCAGTGGACTGTGAAGTGGCCCCTGGGGCTAGGCCTCCAGTCAGGGTGGCTTTACCTTCTGCCATCTAATCAAATCGTCTGCCTGGCAGCCATGCCCCACTTTCCCACTTCACCTGTGCACACACCCAGCGTCAGCCACGGAGCTCTGAGAGCAGACAGTTCTTAATACTTCATACAGCCCTCCTGGAGTTGCCATGAGAGCAAACCTTGGGGTTTGCCCAGGCCTTAGGCTCGGGACACCTGAAACTCCAATTGGGCTCAGTCCCAGTTCAGACTCCCATGTAACTTTGGTCTTAATTTCAGACAGTGGCTTTGGCCACAGCCGCCTTGTGAAGGAAAACCTGATAGACTTCTTTGTGCCCTTCCTGCCACTGGAGTACCGGCACGTTAGGCTGTGTGCACGTGATGCATTCCTGAGCCAGGACCTCCTGTACACAGAAGCAGCGCTGGACGAAATCGCCAAGATGATGGTGTATGTCCCCAAGGAGGAACAACTCTTTGCTTCTCAAGGATGCAAATCTGTTTCCCAGAGAATTAACTATTTCCTTCCTTGAGAGCAAGATGAAAACTTCCTAAAGCTGCCTGCCTGCCACTAACAGGACCCTGGGGTCAGCAGACGTCCAGCACTCACTAATACACAAGTGGTGTGTAAGAGGAGGGCCTTAAATTAGAAGCCAGAGCCAATTCCTAAAATCACTTGGTGCCTTCAAGAGCCACATTCCAAAATGTGAGCCAGGTGGCTGGAGAAAGCCACGTGGGAAGAGAAACATCCCATAGGCTGCTTAGCATCTCAGCCCTTGCCTGCACATGCTTGGACTTGGGGGCTGCAGGATTCTAGGTGGCAGACAGGGTGGGGTGGAGTGGCTTTCAAGTTGTTACTCCCTGAGGGAAGCTGAGCAGCTTGTATCTGTGAGCAGAGCAGGGAAGAG